GATGGGGAGAGATGGGGAGAGATGGGGATAGATGGGGAGATATGGGGAGAGATGGGGAGAGAAGAGGGGGAGAGGTGGGGAGAGATGGGGAGAGATGGGGAGAGAGGGGGAGAGAGGGGGAGAGATGGGGAGAGGGGGGGAGAGATGGGGAGAGAGAGTACAGCGGAGTGGTGAGCCCCCCTCGAGTGTGCCGGTGGAGAGACAAGAGTTGGCTACTCCTCCAGGGGACCTCCAGGGGACCTCCAGGGGACCTCCAGGGGACCTCCAGGGGACCTCCAGGGGACCTCCAGGGGACCTCCAAGGGACCTCCAGGGGACCTCCAGGGGAGGGGCAGTGGACGATGAGCCGACTCGTTGGTGTACGGACGGTGCTCCGGCATCTAAGGAGAGGAGGGCATGAAGCGCGGGTTGGCGTCGCACTCGCCCGCAGACGCCCACGTGGCGCACCTTTTTCGATGGAGGCACCAGAGTCAGAGCGCCAAGTCAGAGCGCCAAGTGCAGCCGAAGACAGCCGAATGCGCGTCGCCTCGTGCGAGGGTGGTCTCTGTCTTCCGCGTCTAGGCCTCGAGATATGGGGGAGAGATGGGGGAGAGATGGGGGAGAGATGGGGGAGAGATGGGGGAGAGATGGGGAGAGATGGGGGAGAGATGGGGGAGAGATGGGGGAGAGATGGGGGAGAGATGGGGGAGAGATGGGGAGACATGGATCTGTCTTCCGCATCTGAAGTGCCGCACTGCTCGTGCGAGTCGGCGCAGTCGGTCAGCGTGCCTGATTAACTTATTAATGTTAATTACTGTTTCACTAGGTCAGCGAGTCGGCGCAGTCGGTCAGCGTGCCTGATTAACTAATTAATGTTAACTACTGTTTCACTAGGTCAGCGAGTCGGCGCAGTCGGCTCAGCGTGCCGATCAGCTTCTGGTACGCACAGGTGCGGCAGGTCGCGGCGCACCTACTGAACGAGTTACTGTTGATTCATGTTGAATTGGTCAACTCGGCAGGTCGCGGCGCACCGCTGCAGCATGAACGCCGCCTCGCCGCAAGCGCTCAGGTTGGCGCGCGCGAGCGAGGCGCAGTCCGGCCGCTCGTCGACGCAGCGCGCTGCAAGGAAGGCTTTAGCACAGGTGAGAGGGAAATGGGCGACTCGAGCCGCTCGTCGGACGTCGCGCGCCTCCCGCGGCCCTCGGCGGCGCCTCGTCGCTCTCCCGCTGCGCCGTCGCCAGGTCCGGCGGCAGCTCCGGCAGAGACCAGTCGACCGGCACGCGCTGCCTGGCGGCTTGCGGCTCACTTGCCGCCCGCCGCTGCTGCTGCGCCTGCTGCCGCTGCTCCTGCGCCTGCTGTTGCTGCTGCTGCGCCGGCTGCTGCTGCTGCTGCGCCGGCTGAGCCTCCGTGGGCTTTGGCAGCTTGCCGTCGCAAGCGCGCGCGCACGCTTTCCCCATGTAAGCCGGGTTCCGCTCGCACTCACCGCTGGCCGCCCACTCGCCACAGGCCGGGTGCTCGTCGCCTCCCGACGCCTGTTCCGCCGACGCAGCACCTTCCGCTCGGATGACTGGCGGCTCTGAGCTCTCAGGCACTCGGCCAGCGGAATCAGACACATTCGTAGGCGGAGGCGGCAGCGTGGAGCCGTAAAGAGACGCCATGACCGCTGCGGCGACAACTGCTGCGACGGCCGCTGCGTTCCCATACCTCGCGAAAGAGGACGACGCGCGCCTAGTAGCGGCGGCGGGCTTCGCCTTCGGCTTTGAGGGCATCGATGATAGCAGCAGCCGGGCAGAGTCGCCCAGCAAGAGTTGTTGGAAACAAAGAACTCCGGCGGGTGGCGAGGAGTGCCCGTGCCGCCCAGTTCCCTACCTAGCTAGTTCCGCGCACTCACACCGATCTCGAGCTCGAACCCTACCCTTCCGATCACCGCCTCTCGAATCACTCCCTTCCCCTCGTCGCCCAATTTGTTCCAGCGGAGGTCGATGCTTTAAAAGAACCGCATTGGACTTGCACGACGTCCGAAATTCGGCGCACAATGCTCATTCCGACGCCCGCCACATGACGCCCACCGCAGCCGCGTTGGTCGGCGCGCGCCGCCGCCGACCATCACCACCGACCGACGGCTCGCACGGCCGTGCGGTGAGCAAAAATTTGGGTCGCTGCGCGCCTGCCGGATGCTCTGCGACGTCTGGACGCTCGCCAGAAACGCCAGGAAGCTTGCCTTCCACCCCTGGGCCCGAGGGCGAACGCCAGTGGTCGGCAGCCTCTGGGACGCTCCCATCGGCTCCTCGACCTCATCGCCTGCGACGAGCCAGCATGGCTCGTCGCTCGACGGCAGCCTGCTCAGTATGCTCTAGATGGGTAAAAAGGAACAGGTCCCCGCCCTTGCAATCTTTGTGCAGGGTTCTTTGTGGGTGTGGTCGGCGACTAGCCGGGGTCGTCCTCCCGATGGGGGACTAGCACTAGCCGTCTTCCACATGGTCCCTCGGGTCCCTGCTGCTCCTAATCTCTTCGTACATCCTCCTGCTGATCTCCGCAAAGTCCTGCTCCCTCCCTCGTCTCGCCCTGCGCGTCTGCTCCGCCTCACCGACACCGTCTTCTGCCCTGCGTCGTCTGGCGACGGGTCCTCCATCGATAGTCGGTCGAGGTCGCCGCCCTCCTCGTGCCTCTTCCCAACGTTCCCTCGGCGGCCGATGCCGTCTGCTCCGGCTCCCCAGTCCCCGGCTCTGCCCTGCTCTCGTCTGCGCTAGTTTCTGCTTCGTCATCACCGGCGTCTCTCCTCTTCCTTCTCCCCTTCTTGTATGCTTTGCACATCGCGTCGATTCCTTTTCGCGTGAGCACCAGCCTGAAGCCCGCCCAGCATCTGAACCGCTCCCTAAGTCGAAGGAGCATCATCAGTCTCACCCACTTCGCTCGCTGCCCACCGTCTCCGCTCCCTCCCGCTTGAGCCGCCGTCGCGGCCCTCGTTCGTCCCACTGGCTGTTGGCCCGCGCCCTGCCAGCGAAGACACAGTCGGCTCAACCTTTTTTGCATGTGTTTTACCCGTCGGCCGTCGCAGAAGGGGCTGCTCGAGCAAGCGCTTTTGTTTCTTTCTAAGCGGTGTGATGTCTATATCTCTCTCCACATACACTAAGTCGGTCCGACCGCGCAAGATCCAAAAAACACGACGTCAGCGGCTCAGCGCAGACGTGTGCGACTGTGCGTCGGTGTCGGCGGCGCCTGCCGTCACTCGTCCACGATGACCTGCGCGAGGAGCTTCTCGTCTTGCGCGAGCCTATTCGCGAGATCAGCAGCCGTCTGAACGGGATGGCTCAAGGCGCACGCCGACTGCCCAGCCAAAAGAGTCACGCGCTTGTACTCGAGCATGGTCTGCGCCAGCTCCTCGTGGCCGTGCTGCTGCGCCGCGCCTGGAGCGCGCGAGAGAGTCGCGTGAGGGCGGAGGGGTGCCCCTCCGGCGGCGGCGGAGCTCCAAGGCGGCTGCCCATCGGCGTCATGCCGCTCACATCCGCGTGCGAGATGTTTGCGCCGCGCGTCAGCAGCGCCGACACCGCCTCCGCGCGGTTGCGGTCGACGGCGACCCGGAGCGGCGTCTTGCCGACGCCGTCCTCCGGGTCGACGCCGATGGTGTTGAGCAGCATCAGCTCGAGTGCCTGGGGAGGTGGGGAGATGTGGGGAGATGTGGGGAGATGTGGGGAGATGTGGGTTGAGCAGCAGCGGCTCGAGTGCCCGCATCGCCCCCTCAGCGGCAGCCACGTGCAGCGGCGTCCGGCCGGCGTGCCTTGTGGAGAGACACACCGACGTCGGGCTGTGAATCACGGAGCTAGGAAGAGGAGGGAGGAGCACAAGCGGACTCCGCGTCCTCTCGAGTGCTCGTCGGAACACACAGACGGGTCGGTCTTCCGCCATCCAGGCCTCGAGATCTGGGGAGATCTGGGGAGATGGTCTCCCAGCATCTAGGGTCGGCGTGCTCGCGCGCGAGCGTCTCGCTCCACACAGGCGCAGCCGCCGCGCCCTCCGCTGCCGCGCCCTCCGCCGCCGCGCCCTCCGCTGCCGCGCCCTCCGCTGCCGCGCCGTCCGCCGCCGTGCCGCCCTCCACACCGCCGTCCGCCCCCGACCCACTCCCTCCCTCCGCACCATCCTCTCTGTCGCCTGTGGTAGCCGCGCCGGCGTCCGGCGGGGGCGGCGGCAGCGGCGGCGCGGGGGACGCATCGGCGGGCGCCGGCGAGTCGAGAGATGCCCCCAGCGCCATGGCTTCGATGATGGCGGCGGCATCGTCCGCCGCCGCTGCGGCGGCGAGGACGTGCGGCGGCGGCGGCGGCGGCTGGCCTCGCCGCGCCGTGAAGGCTCGCCGCTCGTACTTTGCGCGCAGGAATGCCTCGCGGGCCGCCGGGGCGGACGTGGCGTCGATGGCCTAAAACAGAAATGCCGCGCGCATTTCTTTTTTCTCGTGGGCCGCGGGGAGCGGACGTGGCGTCGATGGCCTCGTCACAGGGCGGCGGCCGCGCGTAGTAGCAGCGGTTGACGCGCTGGTTGCCCAACGCGACCATGAGGGCCAGCTGCGTCGCCGACCACTGGCGCGTGTCCAGCTCGAGCGAGCGCACCTTTGGGAGGAGGACGCGTGTGTCTTTGGTTCCGCGGCAAGTGGGGTGCCGCGCGCGCAGGGCTACGCAAGGCGTGTCCGGCTCGAGCGAGCGCACACCTTTGAGAGATGCGTGCCCAGCCGGCGGTGCACACCGGCGCAGGCGAGGCAGATGGTCACTCCCAAGTTGATCGACGCCCAAGTAGGGGCCGGGGCGCCGCAATCGGCGCACGCGCCGTTGCCGGCCACTTCGCGAACGACTGGCAGCGCCGCCTCCTCCTCACGCGCCGAGGCGCGCACGCCGAGCGACCCGAGGCAAGCCGCTGTCCCGTTCTGAATCACCTGCATCCACTCCGCCATCTCGTGCTGCGCGCTCGCCTGCGCAGCGTGGAGCGGTGTCGCTGCCTGCCCGTCCCGTGCGATCTTTGGCCAGCGGTTGCGCTTTTGCGTGGGCGAGTCGTGGGCGTGCCATGCTCTTGTCGTGGACTCATCCTCTCTCATCCTCTCGTGCAGCGACGCTCTCGCCTGCAGCAGCGCCGAGCCGGCCGGCGAGATGACCTCGAAACAGAAAGGGAGCGGCTGGCTGCGCGCCTACAGGAAGGTTCCCGGAAAGGTCCAGTAAAGGTCCAGTAAAGGTCTGTCCAGTAAAGGTCCAGGAAAGGTCTAGGAAAGGTGCAGGAAAGGTCTAGGAAAGGTCCAGGAAAGGTCCAGGAAAGGTCCAGGAAAGGTCTAGGAAAGGTCTAGGAAAGGGGAGGGGCTAGGCTGGCCGCCTCGCGGACGGTGACGGTGGCGAGGGGGAAGACCGTCCGCGCCGCTTCGCGGAAAGGCAGCGGCGCCTGTTCACAGCTAGAGGTGTGAAGAGACGCTGTTCACAGCCTCAGCCTCGCGGAAAGGCAGCGGCGCCTGTTCACAGCTCTTCTCTTCACAGCTCCTCTCTTCACAGCTCCCGCCTCGCGGAAAGGCAGCGGCGCCGCCGCGTCGTCGATCGAGAGGACGGGCGCACCCGAGCCTTGCTGCGGCAGCAGCACGCCTAGGGTCGGGAGGGGCTCGTTCAGTCGAGTCGAGCGAGCTCACCCGAGCCCTGCTGCGGCGGCAGCACGCCTCGCTGCTGCGGCGCGTGGCCTAGCGAGGGGCGTGCTGCGGCTGCGGCGAAGTCGTGCTCGTCGGAGGCCTAAAAGAGAAATGCGGGCGGCATACAACGAGCTGCAGCCGGGGCGGCGAAGTCGCGCCCGTCGGAGTCCGCGCCCTTTGGAAGGAGGCGGCGGACGAGGCGGAGGAGCGGCCTGGGGAGACGAATGAGCGCGCGGGTGAGCTCACGCACGTCGTCTGTACCGAAGCGGCGGAGGAGGAGGAGCGGCAGCGGTGGCCTGGGGAGAGGCCTTCGAAGGAAGAGGAGGCGGAGGAGGCGGCTCGCGGCGCGTCGGCGAGGGGGAGAGGGGGAGGAGCCTCCCGCCCCTCCCCCCGCCCCTCCCCCCGCCCCTCCCCCCGCCCCTCCCCCCGCCCCTCCCCCCGCCGCCCGTCAGCTGGCATCGGAGGCAGCGGCGAGCCCTCGGACACGGCGGCCAGAGCCATCGTCGCCGGCATCGGAGGAGGAGGAGGAGGAGGCGGAGGAGGAGGCGCGCCGGCGGCGGCGCGCGGCGAGCGGCGTTGGGTTGGTCGGTCGGGGAGGAAGTGAGAGAGCGCTTCCTCTGCCCAGCCGGGAGCCTGCGGCAGCGTGTCGCCGATCGGTCAGAGGAGAGGAGTGGAGTGGAGAGGAGAGGAGAGGAGAAGAGAGAAGAAGAGAAGAGAAGAGAGGAGAGACGAGAGGAGAAGAGAGGAGACGAGAGGAGAAGAGAGGACAAGAGAGGAGCCTGCAGCAGCTTGTCCTGGATCGGGTCCGAGACGCGAACAGAGTCAAACAAGACGCAGGCGAGCTCGTCCCGCCGCACCTCGCACCACCACCGCCTCCACCGCCCTCGCAGGTCCGAGTCCTGCCGGAAGAGATAGCCGCAGAGCGACGTGCCGTTGGACGACTCGCCGGCGTCGCCCTCGCCGCCGCCGAAGTCGCGCACGCCCGTGCCGCGCGCGAGGAGCCGGTGGCGGTACGCGCGCTGCGCCGCCTCGCGCTCTTCTCCGTGCGAGGCGAGGTACGAGGAGAGGGCCTCGGTCCACTTGAGCCGGTCGGCGAGGTCGAACGCCTTGCGGGAGGTGTGGGGAGATGTGGGGAGATGTGGGGAGATGTGGGGAGATGTGGGGAGATGTGGGGAGATGTGGGGAGATGTGGGGAGAGATGGGGAGAGATGGGGAGAGCTGGGGTCGGCGAGGTCGAAGGCCTTGAGCCGGAGCGTGCGCGAGCCGAGGCAGAGCTCGAACTCGAGCGGCCCGTTGACCGCCGTCACTGCGGAGACGAGCCGCAAGTCGAGCGGCACCTGCATCGGGAGATGTGGGGAGGTGTGGGGAGATGTGGGGAGATGTGGGGAGATATGGGGAGATGTGGGGAGGTGTGGGGAGATGTGGGGAGATATGGGGAGATATGGGGGGGTACCTGCATCGACGCGCGGCCGCCGTCTGCCGCCTCCCGCTCCTTGTAAAAGTAGAGCTTCCCCGACGGGTCGAGCACAAAGTAGCGGCGGCTCCTAGGAAAGGTCCAGGAAAGGTCTAGGAAAGGTCTAGGAAAAGGTCTAGCACAAAGTAGCGGCGGCTCCACGGACGCAGCCGGTGCAGCGACGAGCGCTCGCCCGGCGTGCTTAGGTTGAAGGACCCCTTCTGCAGCCAGCCCTCGACCAGCGGCGCCGTCGCCGTGTCTCGAGACATCGGGCGCGGCATCGCTCCTCGCAGCGCGGACGCGGCGGCCGACTCCGCAGCGAGGCACTGCGAGGTTTGGTCGGCGGAGGAGAGCAGCGCCTTGGCGAGCTCGATCCGGTCCGCGAGCAGCCGGGCGCAGCTCTGGTGGTACGACAGCTGCGCCACGAGGAGCTCGCCGACGGCGCGCTGCGGCGCGGCGCGCAGGCCGCCGCACGCCTCGCGCAGCGCCTCGCGGGTGTCGAGCAGCGAGAGCGAGGCGGTCGCGAGGCGATCGTCCAGCTCCTGCGCGGCGACGGCGCGCGTCTCGAGAGACGCCTCGCGAGAGTGCGACAGGTACGCGCGGTGCGCCGCCTCCAGCGCCTCGGACTCCTCGTCGAACGCCTTTGACCTCCGCACCGCCGCGAGGCATGTCTGCTGCAGCTCGGTGAGCGGCGCGAGGACCACGGCGGAGAGCTGCGCCTGGAGCGCCTCGCCGAATTCGGCGAGCTGGGCGTACACCTCGCCCACGCCGGCCGAATCCTCCGCAGTCAGGAGCGCCTCGCGGCCAGCAACGCCCGCGGAAGCCAGCGCGGCGGTGCCCGACGCGAGGCTGCTGATGGAAGCGGAGAGCTCGGCCAGCGGCGCTGCCGCCGCCGCCATCGCATTGTGCTGCGCAAGCATCCCGGCGCGCACGCGCGGCGTGTCGCCCAGCGGCGCGTGGCCAGCGGCCTCTTCGCTCAACATGAAGCGCCCGACTCCGATGGCGGCGACAAGTTTTTTTCTTTTTCCGAGACCGGAAGAAGAAAGAAACAAATGATGAAAGGCGCGACACAATTCGAACAACAACACAAGCCCTTCAGCAGGAGACTGGCAAAGAACAAATGCTAACAACAAACCCAAAGCCACAACATCTCCGTCGCTCGGTTGCTCAACCTTGCCACCAGCGGGAGGCGGCCAGGACTCATAGACTCGGTCGAAAGACCCCAGATTATGCCTCTCTGGACAGGGTGGCCCGCCACAATGACCCCTGGATTGCGACTCGCCGCGGCTTTCCTCTCGCTGTGATTTGTGTGTGTGATTGTGAGCTCTGTGCCTTGATCTGCTAACAACGAACCTAAAAACAAAACCCATCCTACGACAAATGGCTCGGAGAATGAAGACCGGCCGGGAACTTACACCGTTGTAGACTTGAGATGACGGTGAGGGGGGACGACCAATGGCGCAAAACCACCACATTTCAGTCAGGCTTCAGCCAATCGTGGAGCAGGTCTCCGTGTCGATTCCAGGGGGCGTCTATGACAGCTTTAAGGGAAGAGCTCCGGCCGAACCCGGCGCCGCAATCGCCATGTCCCACCAGCCCACGGAAGCGATGGTCTCAGCAGCGCCGCCGCTGCTGGGAAGCCCCGTGCTGGTGGTGGGCGTGCTCAGCTTCAATGGGACACGGCACGACGACGGCGGGATATCCAGCGGCGAGCCTGCGGCGCAGACGCGGACGCGGCGCTGCGGTTCGTCATGGTGGCCTCCGAGGAGGCGGCGGCCGAGGCGACGGCGCTGGGAGACGTGATGCAAGTGGCGTTGCCACAAAACGGCAGCCGCTGGGTGCACGTTGCTGGCAAGCTCATGCTGCAGAACGCGCTCCTGCGCTTCGCCTCTTCGCTGCCCGCGTGCGTCCGTTTCATCGCGCGCGCCGACGACGACGCGCTCTTCAACGCCGGCGCCATCGCGCGCCTGCTGCTGCCGAGCACCGCGGCAGCGCAGTCCGAGCGGATCGTCTTTGGTCCGTTCAAAAACGTATACGCGTGGCATGTGGAGAGTATGATGGCGAGCTGCTGGGATTACGGGCTGTCCGGGAGCCTCCGGTGCATCAACTCTTTCAAAGCGACCCACGCCAATGACACGCTCGTGGGTCCTTTCCACTTTGCCGGTGGGCCCTTTATCGCCTACTCGCGGCCGCTGGCGGTCGAGCTGGCCACGCTGCTGCGGCATTCCGGCACGGAGGCCTACGTGCTGAGCCCAGCCCGCACGGAGCGGCCGCTCTTGCACCCCTGGTATGGGACGTATCGCGGGCCCGAGCACCCGCGGCATCCCAGCAACACTATCTTCTTCGAGGAGGTATACCTCGCGTACCTGGCCTACCGGTTCATGTCTCATCGCGACCTCGTGCTGCTGTCCGCGTTGATGCGAGACGCGTACTGGAAGATCACGCCGGGCGCCGTGCGCAACTGGACCCACCAGCAGACGGGGCCCTGTCCTCACGTCTACCACAAGCTAAAGCGGTTGGAGCTGATGGAGCGGCTGGCCAACAGCAGCCTCCTCGCGCGCGCGCAGAGCGAGGCGGTGGTGTGCGACCGGAACGCGAGCATCGTAGACCCGGGTGTGGGCAGGAAGGCACGCCTTGGGTGGAGGTGGTGCGCCCTGGTGCCCAAGCAGAAGATGGCGAGCGACGACTTCGTCCGCTACGAAGCGCTGTACGCCGAGGCGGTCGGCTGAAATGGAGGCTGAGAGAGAAACGAGCAAAAAAAGGGGGGGGGGCGGCGCACCAGCGGCGTCGTAAGCGGTAAGAGTAACGGAGGCGTGTGTAATATATTCCGGCATGGTAAAGCAACCATATCATCATTCTAACAGAGCCCGATGCTCTCGGGCATCTTATGCGTAAAATCTACTCCCTTCGTTTGCCCGCGTGCCGCCACGCCTCCTCGCCTTGCAAGTTGCGTTTGGCAAAGGCCCACTCCCAGAGTCGTGGGTCGCGGTAGATCAGGTCGTAGCTCGCGTGGTTGAGCATGCTGCGGTAGAGTGGGTCGGGCGGGCCCGGCGCCTTGTCGTACCGAGTGTAGCGGACGGACGCGCCCAAATGCACACTCGGCACGACAGCGGGCGCCTTGGCCGCCTGCACCTTGAGCGCGGCCACCACGGCGTCGTTCCCGTGCTCGCCGTCTCCCGCCCAGCCGACGACCCACACATTGAGTCCGGCGAGCCTGGGCGCAATCGAGGCGGGCGCCGGCATGCAGATTGGGTTGAGGGCCGACCACAGCTCGGGCTTCGCCGCAGCAAACTTCCAAGCGCCGGCTCCGCCCGCCGACTGACCGGAGAGGACGACTCGCGTCGGATCTCCGCGGTAGGTGGAGAGCACGTGCTGCGTCAGCCGCTCGACCTGGAGGGTCTTGCCTCGCGTCCAGCCGGTGCGGTGAGCTGGAAGCCAGCCCTGCGGCATGACGACGATCGCGGGAAAGGTGCTCGCAAAGTCACAGGCGGCGAGCGGAGAGCGGAGGTCCACCTCCTGGTCGAGGTAGGCGCGGCCGGACGAGGCCGGCGCCTCGGCCTTTGCAGCCACCCTCTCATACTCCGCATCGAGGCGCCAGCAGTGGTCGTGGTCAAAGCACGTCGACTGGTCGCCGCTCAGGAGGCGCGGCAGGCTCTGCGAGTTCATCACCGTAAAGTGCCCATCGCCAGAGCCGTGGAAAAAGACGACGACGGGGAACAGCGGCTCGGAAGTTGCGTTCCGCCAGCCCGCGGGCAGAAAGAGCTGCCACTCCAGCCCGGCTGTCTGCGGCATTCGGACACGCTCGCCCGTCGGTATCGGCTGGCCTCGGAAGACAGGCGGCTCCGGCTCATCCTCGGACGTGCGGCAGCGCTTCCTCGCGGAGGAGGTGGCGAGGAGGAGGAGGAGGAGGAAAAGAGGACGGGGCGCCGCCGCATGCACATTGCACACACCACACATAACCTCTTGCTGCCCGATGCTTTGCTCATGCTTCGGTGTGAATCACGCCCGCTGTGAAAACATTTTGCGGGGGATTTTTTCGCCAGTCAATAGAGCATGAAAATACCTTTCAGACGGTACCTTTCTGTCCTCCAGAGTCGAAGAACTCGACCGGTGGCTGGCCGCCAAAGTGGCTGGACGGCGCCGCGGCGCACACTGGTGAGCCGCGGAGCACACTGAGGGAGCTGTCCTCGGCGCAGCCGATCGGCTCCCGCGGCCTGGGTGATGGCAGTGGCACTCTCTGAGGCTCCCTGATTTTTTCTGGTATTTGTTGAGCACTCTCTGGTCACCTTCGCCGGGCGAGCCTGGCTCTCGCTGCACAGCGGCGCGACCCGCGGTGAGGCTGCCGATCGTCGAACTGGGCTTAGCTCTCAGTCAAGATATTGTGCATATGGTCGGTCTCTACAATATCTTGACTGAGCACGACCGATGAATCAGCAGCAGGGAGACAGGAAGGCTCGCTGTGTGAGTCGGCCACGCAGAGGGTCGGAACCTGGGCAGCAAGAGGATAAGAGGGCTCCCGCGGCGATCAACACCGCAACTCCTTTTCATTTCACCACTCTTCTTACGCGCGACGACGCTACAGCCTCCACCAAACCTCACACTTCGTCTCGTCGGAGACGTGCACGCAGCGCTGCAGCAGCGCCGCCGTCTCGTCCTCGGGCCGCTCCAGGTCCATGACGACGTTCGTCGAGGCGTGGAAGCGCGTCTCCAGGCAGGTCGATGGCCGCCTGCTCGGCCGCGGCGAGCTTGCCCTGGTCGACGCACATGCCGCACACCGCGTGCGCCGGGCAGCCGCACTGGCCGCGTTGTGGGCGCACGGTCTTGGCGACCGCCGGCGCTGCGCGCCGGTCGTGCTGCTCACGCTGCCGGCGGCGCTGGTCGCGCGCCTGCCGATCGCGCGTGTTCGCGGCGGCTGCATCTCCTGCTCGTTTCGCTCGCACCCGAGCGGCTGTCGCCAGGCGCTTCAGGTCGGCGGTGCTGCGCGCGCGGCCGTCGGCCAGGCACAGCCACATGTCCTCCTCCTCGGCAGGCTCGCACGGCTTGCCGTCGAACTGCGGCTGGCGCCCGCGACGATGCTTCGCCCAGGCCGGGCACGATGGTGCCGCGACGAGCGGCGTCGAGGCGACGGCCATCGATGGGTCCAGAAGACTTGGAGACACTTCTCGACCAAAAAATCAAAAAAATCGAGCACAATTGCGTTACATGGGCATGGCCGGGGTTTCTGCACCGAACGATCTTACTTTCGGTCTATCGAAAGTGTTGATACATAAGGTTGTCAGCAATCGCCCAAGCTTTTGGCGTCGATCGAGAGAATTTGCGTGGCACGGGACGCAAAATCCTAGTAGGGAGTAGAAGAAAGCTAGCGGGAGCCCTGCAAGTGCTCCAAGTGCCCCTGCGCACGCACGACTCCGCAGGAGAAGCCCCTCCCGCCCGTGCTTGTGCAGCGCAGCCTCCTCCTACCGGCGGCGAGGGTGCGGGTCTGACTGACAACCGCGCGACCGCTCGCGACTAACTAGTTGATCTCGGCTTCTCCACATGAGTCATGACCCAAGCATCTAGCATCGTATGGTGTGATACATTGGAGCGTAAAGGGTCAGTCGGGAGTCGCGTGCGGGCGTGCGTGCCTCCAACGGAGGGCGAGACGAACGATCGAGGGGTCCCGTACCATGCGGAATCGACCCTATCCAGTGCTCAAGTGCTCAAGCTCCAACGGAAGGCGCTACGCAGTACCTGCTGTCCGGGCACCGCCGAGGCGGTGCCCGGTGCCGAACCTGTCGGATCTTAAGACAGCAGCATGCTGCACGGATGCCGTCCGCCTCCCGCAAGCCCAACGGATGGATGAATCCGGGGCACCCTCCACTCGAAGCCCCAGGCTTGCTTGGGGTTCGAGGTGGCCCCCACCCAGGGGCCGCCCATCAAAGGGACTGCGACAGAAGACGCCCAATCTTGCTGCGCAAGAACAAAACGTCGTTTGCACCCGGTGGGTGCCGATTTTCTTGGAATCCGAATGCAGGACAGGTCCTTTGCAGCCTTGCAGGAGCACTACCCTACCCCTTCTAGCAGCCTTTGTTCGCGCGGCATGCCGATCACAGCGCCTGCGCCGGCCACGCCACGCGAGCAGCCGCTCACCTGCGAGGTTGCCCGCATCGACATCCTACACGTCTCCAAGATCGACCAGATCGAGCACGCCTTCAGCGCACGCCTATTCTTCCAGCTCATCCTTCGCGGCGGCCAGCGCGACGACGACCTCTTACGAGGGCTCAACGAGCCCTCTGATTTCCAGCTGCGGCCGAGCGCAACCTGGCTCCTGCATCAGTTCCACTTTCCGAACGCGCTGAAGCTCGAATATGCTGAGCGCAAGGTGACAAAGATGGGGGCTGACGACCTGCACCTCATCCTCAGGGTAGACGGCACGTTCCTCCAGCACTTCAAGCTGCATGATTTCCCTTACGACTCGCAGATTCTGCAGGTTCACCTGTCTTCCCACTGCGCCAACGAGGGCATCGCTCCCGTCCGCTTCACGTGGTCGCCGCTCACCGTCAAGCTGCAGCGTCCAACGCACTTTGCGCTCAAAGATGTGTGGGAGATGAGCAAGCCTGTGCGGCTCGACCTCGAGACGCTCAATCCGTCGCCGGGCCGCACGTACCCGGTGCTCAAGACCTGCGTCGAGGTGACGCGGCGGCCAAACTACCACCTTGTCAACGTTGTCTTTCCAATGGCGTGCTTTGTGCTGATGGGCTGCTGTCAGTTTGCGCACGAGACGTCCAATGTAGAAGGACGCTTGGAGTACATGGGGGCGATTGTGCTGACCAGCACGGCGTACAAGATGTCGGTCGCCTCCTCCATCCCGGCCATCGCCTACGTGACGCTTCTCGACAGGTATGTCCTCGCCTGCATCATGATCTGCATCCTCCTCGTCTTCGAAGCTGCTTTCGTGCGCGACCCCTTCGCCGACTCAGTCGCGCTCTTCGTCTCGATCGCTCTCTTCGTCGCGCTGCAGGTCGCCTTTTGCTACACCGCCTATATCGCGGTCCCCCGGCGCGCAGAGGAGCGGCGACGCACCGAGCGCACGCCGCGGCCCAAGCCGGCGTGGCGCGAGAAGATGCGCCGCGTGCTAATGGGCGCCCGGCGGAACTCGTCGAATAATCCACGGCGGAGCCCGGCTCCACCCGCAGCGGATCGAACAACGGAAGCGCCTCGACGACTTGGGCGGCTGGTCGACGTGGAGTCTGGCGATCGATCTGGCCAGAGCGCCTCGCCCGGCGACGACGGGTTCGACGACGAGGCGCGCGAAAGAGGAGCGACGGCGGCCGCGCGCGACGATAGGTGCCGTGGCTCTTCGTCTTGCCGACCGCCGTCGGCCTCGGCTGGCTCGGCCCCGGCCGCAAGGACGAAGCCCACCGAGCCGAGAATATCGTCATCGCAGCGTCGCAGCAGCATGGGAGTGGCGTGCTTGTGACGTCGTGCAGCCGCGACTGTGTGAGGTGTGTGTGTGTTGAGCGGTGAGGAGACAGCCGGGCATATAGGTAAGGTACGGTCTGTGACCGGACCGGGCCATCGTAGCGCGAAGGCTGCACTGGAGAGGGGAGAGGGGGGGGGGGAGAGAAGAGAGAGAGAGAGAGGGGGGGTGGGGGGGAGTTCACAGCCATTTCTTTCTCGCGGCATGAGCGGCGCGCTCCACCCAACCAAGCTGGCCGAGCTCGCGGTGGGCGACCTGGGCGCGCTGCGAGCCTTCCTCTCTGGGCGGCGGACGCGCGGCACTCTCAACGCGCGGCTCGAGACCGACACGCAGGACACGCTGCTCACCTGGGCCGCTCGGCACGGGCAAGCCGAGGCGGTGCGGCTGCTGCTCGAGGCCGGCGCAGACGTTGGGGCGGCTGACGGGGATGACGCCTCCGCTCTTCTCCTTGCGTGCGAGAAGGAATACATCGAGTGCGTTCAGCTGCTCCTCGAGGTCAATGCGGCGGTCAACCAAGCCGATGAGGGCGGCTTCACGCCGCTGTACATGGCGTGCGAGAAGGGCCACCTCGAGCTTGCCCGGCTGCTTCTCGAGGCGGGCGCGGCGATCAATCGAGCCCCGCAGCATGGCGCCACGCCGCTGTACATCGCGTGCGAGAAGGGCCACCTCGACATCGTCCGGCTGCTTCTCGAGGCCAACGCGGCGGTCGGCCAAGCCCAGAACCAAGGCGCCACGCCGCTGTACATCGCATGCCAGCAGGGCCACCTCGAGATTGTCCGGCTGCTCCTCGAGGCTGGCGCGGCGGTCGGCCAAGCCGATGAGGACGGCGCCACGCCGCTGTACATCGCATGCCAGCAGGGCCACCTCGAGATTGTCCGGCTGCTCCTCGAGGCTGGCGCGGCGGTCAACCAAGCCGGTGAGGACGGCGGCACACCGCTGTACATTGCGTGCGAGAAGGGCAACCTCGAGATCGCCCAGCTGCTTCTCGAGGCTGGCGCGGCGGTCAGCCACGCCCGCAACGATGGCGTCACGCCGCTGTTCGTTGCGTGCCAGAACAACCGCCTCGGGTGCGCCCAGCTGCTCCTCGAGGCTGGCGCGGCGGTCAACCAAGCCATGAACGATGGCGCCACGCCGCTGTACATCGCGTGCCAGAACGGCCACCTCGAGTGCGTGCAGCTGCTTCTCGAGACCGGCGCGGCGAAGGACCAAGCCCAGACCCAAGGCGCCACGCCCCTGTACATCGCGTGCCAGAAGGGCCACCTCGAGGTCGCTAGGCTGCTCCTCGAGACCGGCGCGGCGGTCGAACAAGCCACGACCCAAGGCGTCACGCCGCTGTTCATCGCGTGCTACCACGGCCACCTCGAGGTCGCCAAGCTCCTCTCCTCCTATGGCGCCTCCCGCGCCACTACGCCCCTCGGCACGCCCGAGGAGATCGCAAACCTCTTTGAACACGCCGACCTCGCCGCCTGGCTGGTCGCCAGCCGCGGCTGGACGCCGCTCGCGCACCTTGAGAGCCTCACCGCCGCCCGCGCGCTCTCCCTGCTGCGCAGCGGCGCAAGCCTGCACGAGGGCGAGCCGACGCCGCTGCAGCGCGCCGCGGGCGGCGAGGGCGAGGCGGCGGCGCTGATCCGGCGGGCGGCGGCGCCGTGGTCGCCGGCAAGCCACTCGCTCTTCCCCGCGGCGGCGCGCGCGCGGGCGGCGCTCCTCGTCGTCTCGCTCTACGAGATCCACGAGCGGCAGCAGCTCGACTCGGCAGGAAGCACGAACGGCATCGCGGCGCGCGACTTTGTCACGTGCGTGCTGCGCTTCGCGGTCACGCGCGAGACGGAGTAGGGGAGCTGTGGTGAGTGTGGCTTTGCCTCCCCCTCCGACGAACCGTGCTGACTAGGACAATGTGTATTATTCGGGGCGGCCATGTGGCGGGCAGGCCCCTCTTGGGCCTTCTTTCGAGAATTTTTGGGGCTTTTGTTCCGCATCCGCATTTTTTTTTCGCTGGCGCTTATAATGGCGCTCTGCGGGGGTTTTGTGATGAACAGCTCGCCGGCGCCGCCGGCGGTGCAGACGGTCAGTCAGCTGTGTGGGGATAGGGATACAACATATTAACGAGTCTCTCCTCCTACGAGCATTCTAGCGCAAAATCTTGGAGCACTTGGACCAGTGCAGTCGGCGCAGCCTCACATCCAGGGCGCCAGGGGCTAAGAAGCACACCCAGCGGGCCGGATGAGCGGGATCGGGTTGCGGGCACGAAAGCCCTAGCCCTTGAGCTTAGTTGAGTGCAGGGGGGGTACCGAGCAGAGTGCGGCCGCTCGAGCGGCGGGACGGCCCGACCCCGCTGAGCCTCACCCCTCCGCTGTGACCTGTGGGTCCTCAAAATTCTCTCCTGCCTAAGAGATTATCTCGTTTCTGGACCGATTCTGCTCGTGGAATGCGGAGTTGCTTTTTCTTTTCGTTTTTTCGGGGTTTTGTTTATTTTTATCATCTAGTAAATCTCCGTTTTATGATATACCCAGTCGAGATGAAGCTCCGCGACGACGCCCGTGGACTGCACGCGCAGGGAGAGGCGCACGAGCTCCCGCACGGCAAGCGACTTCTCGGCATGCGCCGCCTGTGACGCCTGTCGGCATCCCATTCTTGCAAGCAAGCCATTTCTACCGACGACCGCGTATTTGGTCGCGGACAGGACGGACGTTTTGGTACGTTTGGCACCAGCTGAAGGCTTGCGTCCGCAAAAGCCCGTTGCCAACCGCACTTTTGCCAGAGCCTCGCGAATCAATTGGCCTCCGCTCAGTCAGGTGTGAACATATTCGCTGCGGTCAAAAAAGATTTTTTGCCCGCCACAACACGATTGAGCCCATTATTGATGGGTGGTGTGTGTGTGTGGGTGGTGGTGGTGGTGGTGGTGGGGGGGGGGGGGGGCAAACTGGGCGGCAGGCGGCGGCGGGCAATATCTTTCTTCCAAAGGCGAGTTGGCGGCAACTAGAACGGCCTCTACACCGGCGCTTGGGGGGGCACGTCGACAGCGATGACCCGAATAAAGATGAACAACCAGGTCCGGCTCTGGTTGGTTGAGGACTTTAGCCACCCGGAGCTGTGTGACCTCACTTACCGCCTCGGCTTTCATCGCTCCGCTGGGTTGCGGAAGGACGAACACGCGCAGCACCTGGTGGAGCATTTTGAGGCGGTCGTCGGGATGGTGATCAAGGAAAAGCTGCGGAAGCTCTGCGACCGCCTGCAGGAGAAGGGCCTCATCGCGCCGGTCCCATCCGATGGCAATGTGGCGGAGCTGAGGCGCCGCCTCGTCAAGGAGAAGGAGGCGAAGGGCCTCATCGAGCCAAAGACGCAGCCCGCACGGGAGGGCAAGCGCAAGCCTGAGGAGCCTCCTGAGGAGCCGCCGGCCAAGAAGGTCGCATATCGCCCCGCTGTCGCCGCCCTGCGCGCCCGCCTTGCCCTCACCACCACGCCGCCTTCGCCGCGTCGCGCATTCACCCAGCCGCCGGCGCCGCTTGCCCGCACATCCTCGTCACCACCCGCGCTTGCAGGTCGCCGTCTCCTCCTTCCCCTTCTTCTCCTTCCCCTCCTTCTCCTTCCTGGCCGGCGGCTCCTCGGCGGCCGCGGAGGAGGCCGTACCGGCGACGTCGGCCGGCGCCTCCTCCTCCGACGCCAGCGGCTCCATTACACCCTCTTCCGCGCCCGACTCAAAAGACTCGTCGAGCCTGGGCCAGCAAGCGCTCAAGCGCGTGCTGAAGCGCGTGGGAGCGAAGAGGATCTCCGTGAAGGAGCAGCTCGTGATGTACATGGGCAACTGCACGGAGGCGCTCGACCACTTCAAGGAGCAGAAGAAGAACAAGGTGACGACGACAGACATGCGCACCTACTTCAAGACGGTCAAGGGCGCGAAGGTGTGGACGGCGCTCGAGATCGGCGAGCTGGGCGATTACGAGTTTGATCACATCCACCCCCTCGGCACCAGCGGCGGCTATGACTACCCGTACAACTACTTCGTCATGCCCAAGTCGCTAAACGACGCCAAAGAGTTCAAGAACTACGGAATGGAGAAGCAAGCATACATCGGTCCCAAGGTCGCCAAGGACGCGGAGAACTTCATGAAGTGGATCAAGAGCCGGGCCGAGCACATGATTGACATGGCTGACTTTGACAAGGTGAGGCTGCTTATGTGATCGCCTGATCGCGCGACCCGCGACGGGCAGCGTGCGCGCGGAGGGTGCGGTCCGCTTTAGGTTTAGCCTTTAGGCTTTGGCGTTACTCCGTGTTAGAGGGTTTACTTCGAGACCTCTCTGTGTACTGTGATCTGTGTACTGTCCGGAGATATCTGGAATCTGCCATGAGGGCGGTCCGCCCCCCGCGTGCAGGGCTGCGAGGGCGCAATTCGTCCGCATTTTGTGTATACCGCGAGGGCAGTGGGAGCCCTCGTGCTCCCGCTATCAAACGGAGAGTCGTGCGTGCGCAGGGCTCCTCTTTGCTTTCTACTCCCTACTATCATCTCCTTCCCGTCCTACCAGAGAAGGTTGCTTCCCCCAGGATTAGTCTTCTAGTACAATGTGAACAGCGACGCGCTCGAGAGCGCCTCCTCCTTGTCCGCAAAATGGATCCACCCCAAGGCGAGGGGCGCCGCACACCCGTCCCGCCGGAACAAAGCGCGGGCGAGCCTCCGCCGCGCCGCGCCGCTAACCAGATGAAGCTGCGCTCGCGAGTGGTGAAGGCCGAGCAAGGCAAACGTGGTGACGACGCAGCCCGAAGCGAACGGCGGCGGCGGGGAGGGATGGCCGACGAGCCGCGGTGACGCCGCTGGCCCCGCGGCCGCATCACTCTCGAGTAGCGCCGCCACTCGTCCCACAATTTGGCTCAGCAAGCGCGCCGAGCCCGCCGGGGAGCTCGCGCGGCGCTCCTCCGCGGCCCACCCCGCCACGACCGCGAAGAGAAGGTGCGCGAGCAGCGCGGCGCGGCGCGCAGCCTCCGGCCGGCCGACGCGCGGCAGCAGCGCCTTCCACGCCTGGACGAGGGCGCGCAGCACACGTGGCGGCTTCGGCGGGCAAGGGGTCGGCGGCTCCTCTGCCGCGTCGTCGCCGCGCCAAGCGCAGAGGGTCGCGACTGCGAGCTGGATCGCGGCGTCCCCCTCCGAGCCCAGCGCCAGCCGCCACAGCAGCTGCGCGAGCGCGGCGTCGCCGACGCGGCGCCGGATGGCGCGCACCGCCGCAAAGTAGCCGTCGGGGGGCGAGTTGGCGGCGGCGGCGTGCACAAAGAGCAGCCGCAGCCATTCGGCCGTGCACTCTCCACCCGCGAAGCCTCCCGCCCCATCGCCGTCGGCGGGCGGCCACACCTTAGGACGAACAAGGCCCTCTCCTCACCCTCGAGCGACACCCACCACTGCCGGCGGAGCGGAGAGGCGCGCCGCAGAGGGGAGCAGCCCGTGCGGAGACAGAGGCGGGCCGCGCGTGCGAGATAGGCCCGCGCCGAAGGCCCACGGGCACTTCCGCCCCTCGCCGCCGCCGCCGCCGCGCGTCTTGTCGGCAGGTCGGGCCGAATGCCGCTGCGACCGCATCTGCCTCCACGCCGCGCCGCCGAACAGCACACTGAGCGGCGGCTTCGCCTCGGCCGCCGCCCACGCGGAGCCTCGGAGCGACGGCAGCAGGCTCGCGGGCGGAGACGAGAGCGCAGACGTCGCAACGCTCGCCGCGAGGGGGCGGCATGCGGCGGCCAGGCCGCCGCCGCCGCCGCCGCCCGCCTCGCGCGGCTTGGCGGCGGCGAGAGTGGCGATGAAGTGCGGGAGCGGCTCTGAGCTCCGGCGGGCGGCGTCGGCGGCGTCGGTGAGTGCTCGCCACTCCTCCGGCAGCTGCGCCTGTTGACCGGTCAAGGAGGGTTGGCTTGGTGGGGCACGGGGGTGGTGGTGGTGGTGGTGGGGGGGGGGGCGGGGGGGCGAAGCTGGCGGTGCCTGAACGACGCACAATGCGCAGAGAATGGCGCTGCAGCCTGCCACGCGCCGCAGCACCGCGGCACAACTGGCCGCCGCCGCGGCCGAGGGAGCGGCGCCGGCCGCGCCGTCGCCGCCGCTCCCTCTCACCGCCGCAGCCAGCCCCCGGCAGGCAGCCTCCACCAGAGCGGCGGCGGCCCGGGCCGCATCCCAGCCGGCGTCACCGTCGGCGGCGTGGTCCTCGAGAGCGTCCTCCCGGCCGGCGGCGGCGTGGTCCTCCCGGCCGGCGGCGGCGTGGTCCTCCCGGCCGGCGGCGCCGCCCTCGCGATCGCGGCGCGGCGCGCCGTCCGGCGCGAGGGCGAGAGGCGCGAGGGCGAAGGGGGCGACGTCTGCGGCGAGGGCGAGGAGCCTAGTAGCGTCCCTCTGAGGCTGGGCCGGCTGCCTCCCTCCTCTCCTGTCCAAGGGCAAGCCACGGCGACGGCGCCGTGGCAGACGGCTCAAGCGGCTCGGCAGCGGCGGCTCGGCGCGAGCTGCGACGAGGAGCGCCTGCGCAGCGTGAAAGACAGAGATACCCACCCAGTCTTCCGTCGAGTAGTGAATTTGCCGCGCTCGGGCGAGGAGCGCCTGCAGCAGAGGCAGCGCGGGCAGCAAGCCGTGCGCCGCCCCCTCGGCGGCGAAGGCGGCGAGGGTGGAGGAAGGGGCGGGCCCGAGCAGCAGGCCTATGAAGAAGACATCTCGAGCGGCTAAAAAAGGAAGTCCAGGGCGGCGGCAGGCGGGCCGGAGCAGCAGCAGGCCGCGCAGCAGCCGCTCGAGGAGGGCGGCCCTGTGGGGAGGTGGTGGTGGTGTGGGGGGGGGGGGGCGGGCGGAGGCGGGGGCGGAGGCGGGAGAGGCGGGCTACGTGCGCGGGGGCGGGAGGGCCGCTGAGGCGGCGGTCGGCACTGCAGGCGGCGGTTGGCACTGCAGGCGCGGACAGGCCCAACCCTGTGCGTCGGTGAAGGGCCGCTACTCTGCGTCTGCGCCGCGCCTGGCAGCAGAGAGAGCGGCGGCGTCGGCCCCACGGCGGCGGAGCTGCTCGAGCCGCTCGGTGCACCGCGGCAGCCACGCGGCGAGCGGGTCCGCTAGGCCCCAGCACGCGTCGACCTGTGGCGCGGGTGCCGCCGCCAGGCGAGGAGGGGTGGGGGAGAGGGGCGAGGAGGGGTGGGGAGGAAAGATGCGAGGAGGGGTGGGGAGGAAAGATGCGACGCCATTGCCTCGGGGGGGGGAGGGAGTGGGCGCTCGTCTCAAAGCCAACATCGCAGGGGTGAGAGCGCTGCGGCTCTGCTGACGGGCGGCGGTCGGTGTGGCACGCTTGATGACCACGCAGCCGACACGGTGCGAGCTGCGTGGCTTTATTGACGTGCTGAGGGGCAGCGGTCGGCAAAGCCGCGGGGGGGCGGGGCGTCCCCACCTGGCTTGCCAGGTCGGCGATGGCAGCGGCCCGTGCAGCCGAGGGAAGGCACGAGGAGGCGCCAGCGCCGCTGTCTGCAGCGTCGGCGGCGGGGAGCGTCTCACTTTGCCGGTGCGCCTCCTCGCTGTCGCTCGAGGCCTCGCTTTCGCACGAGTCGTCGCTCAGCGAGCCGTCGGTCAAGTGGCCAACGCCCGCCCGTCCCGACCAAGCGCCGTCTGCGAGAGTCCCCACGCTGCGCCGTGGGACGCCCGAAAATGCCTCATCGTCGTCGTCGCTGCTTTCGTCTGCACTCGCCGCTCCGTCGCCCGCCACCGCCTCTGTGAGGGCGGCCTTGCCACTCTCCAGGCGCTGCCGCTTTGCCGCGCACATATATGTGTGTGTGGCTCGCCGACTTTCTGCCCACCCCGTCGGCACGAGCCGGGGCAGGCCTCTCGCGTGGACGCGCTCGTCGCGAAGCTGGCTGCACCGCCGCGCGCGCGGGGACAGACTTTCTTTCACACGATGCCGGGGTGGAGCTTCTGTTCTTCACCTTCCTACATACACACATACAGCTTCTGACCGACTCCGACCTTCGCGCGACTCCGACCTTCGCGCAGTCCGAGTTTGAGTGTGGAGCGCAGCGTGTGAGCCTTAGTGTGCGATTTCGGTCCCGGGGTTGTGCGCTGCGTTTATGTGAGCGGGGGTAGGTGTGGGTTCCACGTGAGCGTAGGTGTGAGCCTCGTGAGCAGGTGGCGTCCAGATTCTATCGAGGTCTCGAGATACCTCCAGTATCGTAGTTATGGTCCACTTTAGAGCTGTGAACGTGAACAGAGTGGTACCAGCACTGTGGGTCGTTGCGGCACGCAAGGCCAAGTAGCTGTGGGGACACTAACTACTAGGTCACGCATGGCATCAGAAGTTTTGTCTCTGCACTCTGGGCCCCGAAAGGCATCTCTAGCAGTGTCGTTACGCATGCCCCCTCCCCTCCTGGGCTCATGCGCCTCACGTCTCGCCAGAGCATACGCCCTTGGTGTGTGGCGAGACGAGTTTTTCGCCATGCAGCGAGCAGCAAGCCGCCCGCCGCAAACAGCCGGAGGCATCGCCACAGCACTGGCTGCCCCCCCCCCCCCCCCCCACACACACACACAGTGCGTACACATGTGCATGTGCATGGAAAAAAAGAGTCTGATTCATACGACACTGTACGCGCCCTGGCGGCTCGACGCAGCGTTAACGCAGACGCGCTGCACCACAGACGCGCTGCACCACATCGCCGCCATAAAATGGAAACCCCCGCTCCCGCGGCCACGCTCACGTTTGCGTCTGTCGGCGACGTGCACAAGAAGAGTGCAGTGTGCCGCCTTCCCGAGCGGGAGCGGGCGAGCACGTGGTTTGCGCAGCCGACGGGCACCGTCTCGCTCGAGCCCAACCAGAAGCTCCTTCACTTCATTCGGCACGCGCAGGGCTTCCACAACGTTGACGCGCGGCCCATCCAGCAGCGGGCCGCGGACGCGCGCCTGACGCCAGAGGGAGAGGCGCAGTGCGCAGCCCTCGCCGCGACCGTCGAGGCTGCTGGCCTCAGGCCAGAGCTGATTGCGAGCTCTCCGCTGACTCGCACGCTGCAGACCGGCGTCATGTGCTTCCGCGGCCCGGACGGCTGCCCGCCGATGGCGGCGTGCGAGTCGCTGCGCGAGACGGTCAACTTTCTCTGCGACAGGCGGCGGCCGCTCTCGGAGATCCGTCCAGAGTTCGAGCAGGTCGACTTTAGCGCGTGTCCGCACGACGAGGATGCGATCTGGGCGGCCTACGAGGCGCGGCACGGCCCCGCCGACCTGTACGGCGAGCACCGCGAGCACCGCGACCTGCCCTCGCTGGCGAGGCGGGCGAGGGAGGCCATCGAGTGGCTCGGAGGGCGGCCGGAGCGCGAGATCGTGGTGGTGTCGCACCAGAGCTTTCTGCGCGCGCTCTTCAGCCTTGGGCTGACGCGCAAGCTGCGCGGGCTGCCGGTCGCCGTCGAGTACGGCGGCCCGCGAGCGGCAGAGCTCAAGGAGGTGATGATGCAGCCCTTTGCGAACTGCGAGATGCGCACCGTTCTGGCCACGTTTCCTAGAGCTAGACAGCCGTAGCGCCGTTCAGACCTTTTTCGTTGACATGCCACATATCACATCTCACGAGCGCCGCGCGGGGCTGCCATCTCACGAGCGCCGAGGCCGTACAAAAACCAAAAAGAAAGCCGGGCTCGCGAGTGCAGCGAGCGCCCGCCGACCGCCGAACGCCCGCGCAAACCGCCGATACGCGCTGGCCCCAGTACACACAGTGACAGACGACACGCTCCGAAAGCACACCTGGGGCCCGAACCCCAGCGGATGCTGCTTGCCGCCTCCTTCGTGTCTGCCGGTGAAACGTGCAGCAGCGGCATCGCGGGTGACGCCGCACGACGCGGATGCGCTGAGTGGTGCAAGGCGGAGAAGGCTCCCAACCATTGCCGCTTCTGCAAGTGCGCCGGGTGCGCCTTCTGCTCTGGCGTGGCAACCACGGTTGGTGGCGACGGCGCCAGCGCGGGTAAACGAAAGGCGCAGGGTGCCTTTCGCCACAGTGCGCTCCCTTGGCCGCACCGTCGAAGCAGCCGCGCCACCAGCGCGAGCTGCTCAGCACGCGTGGGCACGGTGCCTTTTGTAATGTGGATGCCCGGCCGCACTGGCTCGACGTGGGTGCAAGAGGCCCTCAACAGCCACCCCGAGGTGACGATGCTGGGCGAGGTCTTCAACAACGGCACCTCGCACGACGGCTTCACGCAGGCGATGTGCCGATTCTACGGCGCGCCCGCTGGGCGGCGCGTGCGGCGGGCGCGAGGCTTCAAGCAAAAGTTCTTTCAGTGCAACGCCGACTTGAAAGAGAAGCTCTGCGAGTACGAGCGGCAGCCATGGGCACAGCGGGCCCTCGAGTCGTGCCTGCGGCCCGCGTCCACTCCGCCGCCCCCCGGGATGGCACCCGATGCCGGCTGGAACGTGACCACGCGGTCCTTCTCCGTGTTCACGGCTGTGGGTGCCCGAGTTATCTGCTCGTTGCGGCGGAGCTCGCTAGACCGCGCGCTCTCCAAGGCGGTGCAGGTGTCCTTCTTCAAGAAGTGTGGAGTGTCGAATGCCGTCACGGCAGCGGAGCGCGCTTGCCTCGAGCGGATGAAGGCGGAGGGCGTGCGCGTGAGCGTCGAGTACGTACTGGATGTCATGCGCCAGGCGGAGATGGCTGCCGCGTACAACGCTGCAATATGTGAGGCTCAGGCACGGGTCTCGCCCGTCTTCTACCTATGGTATGAGGACCTCCTCGCTCAGCCCGACCGGGTGTTCGAGGAGCTGCAGCGCTTCATCGGCGTCGAGCCCCGCCCTTTGCGGTCCACAGCCCAGCGCATCGTGAGCAAGGGAGCTGCGTCGTGGATCTCAAACCTTGACGAGGTCCGTGCAGCCGCCACGGCTCTCCGCGGAGGCAAGGCTGCTCTGGAGGACGGCAGGTGCAAGAAAAGCTGAGCTTTAGCGGGGGGCGCTCTCACACAGTTTTAGACAAACAGCGGGGTCGGCGGAGACTTACGCCATGTGCAAAGAGAGGAGGGCTCAAAGGTTTGTGGGGCTAGCCGTGGATTTGGGTTGTGGGACGGACGTGGCGTGAAGCGCGCCAGCCGAGCGGAACTCTCAAGTTGTGCGTGACGCCGGCCGCCCGCCTGTGTCCCGGCACCAAGCAGACACATATGCAAAACAACAGCACACATGTGGCTTTTTCTCCTTGTCGCTGCATGGTGTGGGCGCTCATGCCGAAAGGCCAAGGCCGTCGATGTGGCTGTTGCGGAGGCTCGTATTGTCGGTGAGATCCGCGAGCGCTTCGAGGCATTGCGCAAGTTGGCTACGTCACACATACCAGAAGAGAGTGGCAGAAACCAGGACCTTTCAGCCAGCAAGAGTCCTTCCAGCAACAGGGCTGGCGAAAGCGAGCTACTCTCGCGGCGCATCAAGCAGGCGACGATCGCGCTGAGCAGTATCAGCGCAATTATTCTTCGGGCAAACGTGACAGAGCTCCAACGCAGCGACATGCGGCGGCCGACGGAGCCGCGCTACCGACCGCATCCTCCGGCAAGGGGTTGCGACGCTGTCCTCGATGAGTGGTGTAACGCGAACTGTCAAAGCTCCCAGACGCTCGTGGCGCGCCAATCGTGCCCCGGTTCCGATTCATGGGTCAAGTGCACACGGGCTCGGGAGAGCTTTCATTGCCGCCCGATATCTGCACCCGCGTCAGTCGATAACGTATCCGAGGCAGAGGACAGAGCCGTCTGCCCGCACGTGGGCCAAAACGTGACCGAGTCGCTCAGAGAGGTCAAGCAGCAGTGCATGGCTCGTGGGGAGCAGCGGTGGTGGCCCTGCCCAACCGAGATAGCGTGGCCGGCCAGACCAAGAGAAGACTGCAACGATAAGGCTGTCGTGCGCCATCGGTCGTGACCGCCCCGCACTCCCTCCCTCCTCCCCGACGGGAGCTAAATCAACCCTCCTTCTCTCAGGCCATGCTTTCTCGCGGCGTTGGACCTGCTCCACGACGCCAGCTGCATGCAACGCCTGACCGTGCCTCCGAGTGAGGGGCGGCTTGAGATCCCGATCGCCTTTTACGTCAGCCACGCTCCGTGGCTGCAACAGCGCCGGCCAGCGATGTGGCAGCAGCTGCAGCGTGCTGGTGGCTCTGCCATTGGCTGTGCAGGGTCCCAAATCTGCTGCTCGTTCACACCATCCGACGTGCGCTTGTAGGCGCCTCCGACGTTACCTTCGTGCTGTGCGCCAATCCGCAGGTTGCCTCGAAGCGCAAAGGGAAGTGGTGCCGATACTCAGTGTCTACTTGTAACCGCAGGATCTCGATGTACGCCTCAATACGACTCACCGCTCTTGCATCAACCCATGCATGATACCCGAGTGGGCCAAGAACGGCCAGGGGTTGCCACGGGGCAAACTGAGTGCGCACCTCAAGCAGAAGCTCATCTACCTCGACCTGCTTCGGCGCGGTCTAAAGCGCGCCGTCGTGCTGGACGCCAGCCACTTGCAGCAATCACGCCGTCTAGGGCGAACGCGTCACACCGACTCTATGGCTGTAGGAGGACGACGCGCGAGTAGCGGACGAGTTTGCATTGCGACTGCTGCCAATCTTGAGTCGACAACCAGCAGACGCCACCATCATTCGGCTCGGTTCTTATTTGAGGGGCAATGCGTCGTATGATACGCTCCGGCGGTGGCCAATCTACACCGCGCCTGACGGGTGACCACCACTCTACTACCCTCAAGTCGCCTCTTGCCACGCCTATCCCCCATGGGTGTGTAGGACCAACCTCTCCTACCTGCGGGCTCAGCCAAGTGCCGTCACCTCCGGCATCAAGGGGAGGAAGAAGCTTGTTCCGCCGACGATGGGAAGCACCGCGTACGTGGTGACGTCTGAGGGCGCAGATCAGCTGCTCCGGCCAATCATTGCGCCAACAGACGTCACGCTCGTAGATCGCCGAGCTCACACACCCACCCCTCGCACGCAGCAAATCTGGACTCTCGGGTGGGACTCATCTTGGCTCACCCCCCTCGCTGTGTCCGTTATAGGCCACCCTCACGAACCCTGCCGTCGGCGCGCCGCCTCACCAGTACGGCACTTTCCCGTGGATAGCGTGGCCCGCCTGGTGGAAGAACGTCGGGGCCAAGGACAGCCTGAAGCAGAGTAGTGAGAACATGCTGCCGTTGGACCAGCTCGCGTGCTACGCGCTGCATCCACGGCGCATAAAGACAAACCCTGCACCCATACCGAATGCGGGTCAGGAGGCCCTAAAACGGCGGGAGGGGTAGGGGTGCCGCTTTAGGGGCGTGGAGGGGTCGGGAGGGCGGGAGTGAGGACCGTGGTCTAAAGCCCTCCACCGATAGAGGTGTCAGGCGGCAGGGCCCAGGAGGGCACTCGGAGGGGTGGGGGCTGGGGGAGGGCTGGCCAAAAGCGAGGCGTAGGAGAGGGCTCGTGAGGGCTTGGGAGGGGTGGAGAGCTCGGAGGGGTCGGAGGGGTCGGAGGGCAGAGAGGCACGAGGGTGGCCTGGCGCTGGTGGGCTCGTGAGGGCTCGGGAGGGCTCACAAGGGTCCCTCCGGGACGCCGGAGGGTCGCCACCCGATACAAAGATAGGAAGTCTCCGCGTATGTGCCTGACCTCAGGACGGCTCCGAGGGCTAAGAGGGCTCCGCGGCCTGGTGATGCCTGCGTCATCATCCGCTCTGGATCGGCGTCGAGCCCTAATGGACTTCGTCCCGCCCTGCCTCCCTCCGAGCCCTCCGAGCCCTCCGAGCCCTCTTGAGGGGCAGTCACATAAGCCGCGACTTCCTATTTTTGTATCTTTTGGCGACCCTCCCGCGTCCCGGAGGGCCCTTCCGACCCCTCTCGAGCCCTCCCGCCACGAAGCTCCTCCCTCCCGACGCCGATCCGACGGGGACCCTCCCGCTGGGATCAACATGCCGCGGCATAGGCTTTGACTCTGTATATGACAGAGCCCTTCAGCTCACGCCACACTCAGACGTGACCTTCCACCCCCCTCGCGAGAGATATCCCCGATGGCGCGCCGCTCCTGTGCAGAACTCCACGTACTGTGCAGACCCCCACGTACCACCGTACTCCTGTTCCATCCCCACATTCAGACGGCGCGTCCCCGAAAGAGAGGCGCCCCCAAGAGACGAGACGTAGGCTCTCTCACCACCATGCGTGTAGCGTGCGAGCCTCGCGTGGCCGTCCGCGCGCACCAGCCACCACGCCGCGCGCTCTCAGTCTCAGTCCTCAGCAGGGGCGAGGCGCTTGATCCCCATGGTGAAGGGGGAGATGCCCCGCACGCTCCAGCGCGCAGCCCCTGCATCGCCGGCCGCGTCCTCCCCCTCCTCGTCGGGCCTCTGCTTGCGCTTGCCGGTGGCGGGCGTGAAGCCAAAGAGCGGGGCCGACTGCACCGCCACCGACATCGGCGGGGGCGCGCCCTCGGGATGGGCGTCTGCCCTCTTCTCTGGCGCCGCCCTCTCTGGCGCCGCCCTCTCGGGCGACCCAACCGCCCGCGCGGGGCTCTCGTCGGCGGCAGCGAGCGGCGCCTCGTGCGTCGCGACGCCGCCCTCGGCGGGCGGGCCGGCGGGCGGTGGAGGAGGCGGGCCGGCGGGCGGGGCGGGAGGTGGGCCGGCGGTGGAGGAGGCGGCGGCGGCGAGAGGGGCGGCGGCGGGTGAGGCGGCGGCGGCGGGTGAGGCGGCGGCGGCGGCGGGTGAGGCGGCGGCGGCGGGGGAGGCGGCGGCACCGAAGCCGTCGACGAGCTGTGGCACCGTGTTTGGCGGTGCGGCGGATCCCGCGGCATGCGGAGGCGGCGACGTAGGATCGGGCGGACCTGCCGCGCGCACCCAAGCCGGCAGATCAAAGTGGAGCTGGAAGTCGAGCGGCGGAAGCAGCGCTGCGTACATGGCGTGCAGCTGGTGCCCCCACGACGCCGTCGCCTCCGCGTCGGCGCCGTCCGGCGGCTGCTGCGTCCCTCCGGGGAAGCTCTGCGTGCCTGGCGTGTGCGGGGGGGTGCGGGGGACGGACGATGAGATTCAGGAGTCGCGCCGTGTCTTCAGAGCGGCGCGTGAGTACAGTGGCGAGGGTCACGGGCAGCGGTGTGACTACATGGGTCGGTCTTCCACCTCTAGTCCTCGAGATACGGGGAGATTTGGGGAGATCGGCCTTCCGCATCTAGTCTTGCTCGCCGCCCTCGAAGGCTTGCGTGCCTCCCTCGAATACCTGAGTCAGGTCAGGTCAGGTCAGGTCCGGTCCGGTCCGGTCCGGTCCGGTCCGGTCCGGTCCGGTAAACACACTCAAGGTGGTGGGGCAGGGGGGGGGGGGAGGGGGGGGGGGGGGGGGTCCTAGTCCCTTTGGCCTCCCCTCGGGGGGTGCGGCGCCCCACCCTTTGGAAGGGGGGCCCCCCCGGGGAAATTCTAATTTTTTTTTGTACCCCTTAAATATCCTCCCTCTCTCTGTGGTGCTCGAGAGAAACCCCCCGCGCCGCGGACCTCTTGTGAAAAAAGGTGGTCTGAAAAGCGCTGCTTCACGTGCCTCCCGTATTAGTCCACGTCTCGGCTGGGGGATCCAAGAGCCTCTTTCTTTGTTGTTTTTCCTCCGGCCCTTCCCTTTGGGCGTTCTCCCCCTTCTCGGG